TCCTCCTCCTCCTCCTCCCCCGGGGGCTCCACGTCCATGGCCTCCTCCTCCGGGCACTCGGCCATTTCCGCCATGTCTGTGTCTAAGAAGCCAAACTCGCCTTAAACCAACGAGGAAGCACACGGCCGTGACAAGCGGGCTCACCCCACGGCCCACGCCTGACAAAAGCTCGCTCACGGGTGAGCGAAGCGGAGGAACCGGCCCCACCCAGGGGACAGAGACAAGGGACCCCAGAAAGTGGCGAGCAGGACACAGCCGCCCGGACGCACGCGGGGGGACTCGCCGGGACAAGGGTGCTCCCGAGCACTGAGCTCAGGGCTTCCCTCAGAACGCCATCATCCACGACACGGAGACGACGGAAGTCCAAGGGCAGCCCGAGCAAGCCAGGCAGGCGGACGCCCTGCGGGGACACAGGCCGCGACCCCACAGCCGGCTGATGCAGGAAAAGCTGCCTCCAAAAAAGGCTTTTTCCTAAAGCGTGGGACTTTTATTTTACAGTTTTACTTGACGTTTGTGTATTGTCATCGTGGGAACCTGGTGTGCGTACACATCTTAATTCTTACTTTCCCGCTGCCCCATCTCTTAGTCCCCTTCCGTGTGTACAAGATCTATCTCTATTTCCTATTATCTACTTATACTTTGCTATTTATTTATATTTGAGCGTTTTTTTTTTTTTTTCCAAATACTGGGGCTCAAACTCAGGTTCTTGTGTTGGCCAGGTAGGCACAGCGCCTACTGAGCTACGTCCCTTTATAAGAACTTTGGGTTTCTTATATAAGACAGACCATGTGATATTTAAGCTCGTGTGTCTCATTTATTTCACTTAATGTTACAGTCTCAAAGTATAGCCATGTTGGGGCTGGGGATTTACTCAGTGGTTCCGCCACCTGCCTCGCAAGCACAAGGACCTGAGTTCGAGCCGTGGTACCAAAAAAAAAGGTTAATGCCTCAAGCTTGTCCTTCTTTATAGCACCACAGTACTCCACTGTGTGTAAATACCACATTTCTTTATCCATTCATCTGTTGGTAGACACACAGGTGACTTCTAAATTTTAGCTACTACTGGCTTTGCTGCTATGAACATGAGTATGCCTGTATAAGGAAAATAAACCTCTAAGAAGAGTTACACAAACTATATGTTTTTAAATTTTAAAAATATTTATATTTGTGCAGAATTGCCAAGTAAAGGTTTAAAAGACTCAAGAAAACAGTGCACACCAGGCCCAGAATATCCCAGTGGCTTCAGCCACCAGCTCAGCCGGGATCCAGGCCTCAGCCCTCTGGCACTCACCCCTCACATTTCTGTGCTGACTACGACCTCCAGCTCAGGGTTCAGGACAAGTAGTGGTAGCAGGAGGTAGCCTTCCCTCACTCTGATTTTATTTTATTAATTTTTGTTGAGACAGGGTTTTGCTATGTAGTTCAGGATGGCCTTGAACTCAACTACATAGCCCCAGCTGACCTTAAACTCCCTGCAACCCTCCTGCCTCAGCCTCCCAAGGGCTGGGATCACAGGCATGTGCTACTACGCCTGGCCAAAGACTCTTTTTGAATTTATACACCTCATGCAAGTATTCAAATTACCTTTTCATGGAGTTCTTTTTTTTTTGTTGGTACCAAGGATCGAACTCGGGTCCTTTCGCTTGAGAGGCAGGCCACCAAACTGCTGAGCTAAATCCCCAGCCCTGGAGTTGTTCTTTTTAATATTTATTATATCTATTTTCATGGACCTTTTTTTAAAAAAAACATTTTCCAGTTCATAATTAATCAAATAACTTTTAGTTATACTTTACTTTGTGTTTCATTAACCACTGTTCTCAGGTTTATTATTTTATTTTTTATACTTCCTTGGCATTTATTGGTTAATGCTCCTATGTACATCAAGAAGATGGATTTCTAGGTAATTAATCTACAGTTCAGATTTTTCTCACTAATCTTGCTGTCTTTAATTCATGACCACAGTTATCCAAGACGGTGAAAATCTAGTTTAGGAAAGTTTAAACTTACTTTCTCCATGCAGAATGCGTCCCATCTGCTCCTCCAGCGTTCTGTGGTCAAAGTGGAATGCTTCCAGTGTGGTCACCAGCAAGCTGTTCATGCCAGACACAGAGAGGCTCACTGTATCAGTGCCGCCCGACACTAGAACGGTTCTGACCAGCATGTTTTCCTTACTCCACCCTAACTTCACTAGTACTACGTAACTGACCGGAAACGGACAGGAGGAAGGACCGAGGCAGGCAGGAAACAGCGTTAGGGTCAGATGTTTGAAACAAAGCTAGAATAAACCCGTGCCCATACTTGACGCCCAGCTTCTGATGGATCTGCCCAGCCTGGAGGACGTGGATGAATCGCTTCAAGTAGTAGACATAGGCCGGCCAGGCGAGGTGTCTGCACACAGCTCCGATCGCTTCCGTGGCCGCGACGGTCATGTTTTCATGCTGCAAAGTGGAGGACAAGTTCAGCTGACAAATCACATGCGCCCCGTCATGCGCGGCAGGGGGCTCGGTCGGCAGCCACGGTCCCTACAGAAAGGGACCAAACGCGCCCCTCTCCTGGTTCGCCCCCCTGGATGGCGAGCGAGAGGCACCATGAACACGGCTGTGAAGGACACGCACGAGGCCCGGTCATGTAAACGTGGGGGCGACAGTGTCCACGATCAGACACCGAGCTTCTCAGCACTCAGCAGCGCGGTGCCTCGGGGGCATTTCCTGCAGGCAGTGTGGCTGATGACCAGGTACCAGGTCTGCCTGCACGCCTTACACCGGAAGCGCGGACCAAGTGTGCGAACTGTGGGTTGTGGACACCAGACAGCGGACGGGGACCCTGGGGAGAGGCAGCGCAGGCCGGGGCGGAACTGCCGCACTGCTGTGCGTGGAGGACCCGAGGCCACGGGGCAGAGGACCTGGCACAGAGCGCGAGCCCTGGCCTTCAGCTGGTGCAGACAGCACAGGCGAGCAAGGATGAGCAGGGAAAGGGCCACAAAGAGGGGCAGGTGCCAGCCATCACAGAGCACGGCAGGACGTGAACATCCGCCCATCAGCCAGAATGACGGACTCATGGCGTAAGGCATGAAGAGAGCCGGAAATCACAAATCCGGAGGCAAATGTTAAAGACCTTCCCTTACCGCTTTAAAAGATAACTGTATAAAGGCAAAATAACAACATACTCTACAGCTCAAAGCTAATGGAGAGGTTAAAAAAAAAACCCAACCAGAAGAAGGAACAAAAGGAAAAAGAAAACGAGGCAAGTAGAAAATAAGTAACTGGGTCATAGGTTAAACTGGACCAGATAAGCAAGCACATTAAATGTAAACAGAGACTCTGTCAGGTGGGACAGGAAGTGACAACCAGCTGAACGCTGCCCACACAAAACCACTTCCAATGCAAGGCAGGCACGGGACACCCTACCTTGCGCATTTTCTCGTCCAAAACTGGAGTCAAGGCGTAGGGCATGACGTAATTCTGCAGAGCCTTGGAGGACAGCACCACCGTGCCCTCCGTCAGCTGCTTCGCCAGTCTCTTCAGGGCTCTCGCTCTTCTGTGGATCTGTGAGCAGATCGAGTTCACACCAGGTCCCGAGGCCTCGCCCACGGCCAGGCCACCGGACACCGCCCTCCCGTAACACGACCCACAGCGTTTGTTAACAGAGCAGCCCGAAGCCTCCAAACTTTTCAGGAAACACAGGAAGGGGGCGCTACTTTCACCTGCCCCAGAAACCCCAGCCCCGGGCGGGGCCGACCGCGTTCTGTGGGTGTGACCGGGACTCCCAGCGCGTCTCTCCGAGGGTCGCAGGGCCTCCCACCTGGATGTGCTTCATGTTCTCGAAGAAGTCCATCTCCGGGTCCTGCCAGTGGGTGAGCTGCACCAGCTCTCTAAACTCCGGCCGCTCGGGGAAGGCGAGAATCAAGCAGGACAGAATCGTGGTATAATCCTGCTGAATACTCTGCACACGCCACGAGGAAGAGAAAAGTTCTGTTTTAGGAAGAATCTGCTTCCCACACGACAGTAAAACACTACAGAAACAACAAGCAAACCATCTCCCTGCACAAACACCAGTGAAACCACTTGTAAAGGCACTGCTCGCTCCTCCCGCTCCAGCCAGTTAGTTAGCGGGATCACGCCTGACTGCGTCGCTACATGGAAAGCGGCGAGGGAAACCACGGCAGAGCTCCCCGGGGCCGCAGTACCTCTGTGGGGCTCCGCAGCCCCCTCCGCAGCCTCTCCAGGAGGCAGAGGTGCACGACTTCCCGGTAGTCCTTCTCCGAGATGGCCAGGGCGGCCAGCTTCCGGACGACGCTGGTCAGGCACACGCTGGCGCTGTCGCTCAGGGACATGTCCCCTAACTGGAAGGGAGAGCACAGGCACGCCGTGCGGTAACCACACACACGGTGTCACCGCTCGGTGCAGAAGACCCTCCGGTAAAGGTCCCGCGACCACCGCGAAGCCACAGACGCCAACGGGGAGAGCCGTGAGGAGCGCAGGAGGGCGCTGGCTGAGAAGAAACCCCCGTCTCAGGAGGGACGGCCAAGTGTCCCTTTGATTAGCTTTACTTTCCAAAGCAGGCACGAGCCGAGGTTCACTGCAGCCAGCTCTCCAGACTGACCCCTGGGCCGCCTTGCTCACACGGCACAACCGCCCCGGCAGAGGGAGGCCGCCAACCGCACTCACGGATAGCGCTCAGCAAGGGCTCTGGACTGAATTCAGCTTAGCAGTTCACTGCCTAAAATTCAACGCTTACTTTTCACCACACCTTCAATAAAGAAGGCAAACTACCGGCACAACAACTTCCCAAGACTCCAGTAACACAGGAAATAACAAACGGGCCGTGTGAAATTAAAGTCTGCACAGCAAGGGAGATGACAGTGAAGGGACAGCCTACAGAATGGGAGAAGGTCTTCGCCAACTGTTCTTCCAACAGAGGATCAGTATCTACAATACATAAAGAACTCAGAACGCTCGACGGCCAGTAAGGTAGGAGAACGCCCACCTGGATGCAGACCAAAGCCACACCGAGATCCCACCTCCTCAGGCAGAACGGCCATGTCCAGAGTGAGAGAACAAGAAATGGTCACGGGCATGGAGGGAGACAGACGAGCCCTTCCCCACTGCTGGCGTGGAAGTCCTCAAAAATGAGAAGCAGAGCTGCCGTGGTACCTGCCTGTTCCCCACTCCTTGGCGGGCACCCCAGGAGCCAAAGCCAGCAAGCTGAAGGGCACCTGCATTCACTGTTTACTGCGGCACCCTATGCAGCAACAAGATATGGAACCAGCCTGGGTGTCCGTGAACACGAGGCGATGACATATCGTGGAGTATTACTCAGCCACAAAAAAGGCACCTTCGTCGGAAAAACGGATGGAGCTGGAGATCCATTTTGAGCAAAACAAAAACAAGCCAGACCCAGAAAGAGACCCTGAGTGTTTCCGCAAGGTGTGCCAGTGAAAGCGTGGAGAAAGGAGGGGAAACGTTTAATGTAGATGGAATGCAATTTTCAAACCTTGAGGCAGAATTACAACACCATGGAATGCAGCCTTTTAGCGTGGAGAGGCTGCACCCTGAGTGCATAAAGGGGACCAGGACCACTGCACCGAATTTCAGGCGATTTCCATCAGGTCCAAATGCAGCCCCAGCCAATGAGACCGCTTCTCGACCCTCCCTGCTAGCAGCCCCGTAACCTTAGGTTACTGTTTCTATGGCTTTCTCTTCTAATACACAACTTGATTTTTTTCAAAGTGGTTCTATACATAGTGTATTTGAAATAAATACGTGCTTTCCAAATCATGAGCACAGTGCTATCTCTGCCAAACAAAAATTCCACATCTAACAGGACTTTTACACTAAAGACCCTGGTTCCCCTCAACAGACAAATGAAGAAACGAGGCCAACGTATCAGGCGCCGTACAGTCAAAATAATACGGAACGACCCCCGCCCTGGGCTGCAGAGCTCACCTCCATGTTGTAGAAGCAGCTGTGCATGACTGCGACCAGGAAGCTGACGTCCACGGTCTGCATCTCTCTAACGTGATGCGCGATTGTCTGGAACTCAGTGAAGCGGACGTCAAAGTTGATGTCATCGAGGTGCCTCTGGTCAAAGGCGTTCAGCTAGGACAACGCCATTGAAATCACGTGAATGAAGGCGTACATGTCTTAAACAGAGAGGAGCGCACTTTCGAGGCCAAAGAGAAACGAGAATTCTTTCTTACCTTCGCAACGTCAGTAATGTATTTTAGTCCAGTTTCGAAATCGGACAGACCCTAAGAAGAAAGAACGGATTGTCTTTAGTGAATACCGTTTCTGCCTCCCCTCAGCTTCCTGTTCCCCCAAATTCACAGTGGTGAAGAGTCGTTCCAGCATCCTACACATCACTGTTATCTTTTAAAAACAGTGGTCTGGAGCCTGGTGTGGTGGCACATACTTGTAATCCCAGCCCAGGGGAGGCTGAGGCAGGAAGATTGCTGTGTTCAAGGCCAGTGTGGACGGCACAGCGAGATCCTCTCTCACCCCCCACCAAAAACAAAGCAAGGTGGTCCGGGGTGCGAATGCACATTACACACCTGGAAGACTGTACACAGCAACTGTCTTGACAGCTTGTTCTTAACGACCGAGAAGAGTCTGGCCAGGGGCTTGAGGAAGCTCGTGGGGTCCACACAGTGCCGCAGCAGGTTCTGCACCGTCACCAGGATATCGACTTCTGTGTCCTTGCCAAGAACAAGGGAATTGGTGTTTCAGTCATTTACGGAACGAGTCCATCTGTGCTATAATATAGCACAGCACGGAGTGAAAATCCTAATGAGAAACTTATTCCTAGTCTTGTACAAGTTTTCAGCATTTTGACATAAAACCCACAATACCATCTAACAGTTTCTTTAATTCTAATATGGAACATACATGGTTCTGAAACATAACGTCTTCAACGGTGCAGTCCAGGGCCGGCGAACCTATGTGCCAGGCCGCAGCAGGCTGTTTGCGTCTCTGAAAGCTCTGAAGGTTCTCCATCCCCACTCTAGTCAAAAAACAGCTAACAACAGCAATACAAAAACAGCTACCACTGCCGGGCATGGTGGTGCACGCCTGTAATCCCAGCACTCAGGAGGCTGAGGCAGGAGGATCGCTGTGAGTTCGAGGCCAGCCTGGGCTACATAGTGAGTTCCAGGTCAGTCTCAACTACATAGTGAGACCTTGTCTCAAAAAAACCAAAAAAACAAAAAGAAAAACAAATACAGCTACCAAAGTGGGTTTGCTGACAGAAAACAGACGCAGCAGCGCCCAGATTCATGGTCTTCCAGGCTGCAGAGTGCAGTGACCGAGGTGCAGCACTGCCACTGAGGCCCCCGTGTCCCCGAGCCCCGTGGATGTACCCCGGGGTCCGAGACTGCGCTCTTGGCTAAGCCTGCACGTCAGAGGCCTGATGTCGGTCAGCTCTGCTGTATGCGCAGTGCGCTCCCTGGGTTCCATCTGCATCCAGCTAAAGTCAGGAAGAAACTCCTGACGTGGACAGGAAGCTGAGCAAAGGAATGGGAGGGGTAACATGGCACTGCCGGGGCTGAGGACACAGCCTCGGGGCCTCCTGCCTGTCCGTTTGTTTCTGCCCCATTTCCCTCTATTTCAAGCTTTTTCTCCACACTGTCTTCCAGTCCTGGGGAGGCGCGCATCACAGAAGCTAACAACACAGCGCGGTCACGCTCCGTACCTGCGCCAGGCTGCCGTGGTGGAGGAAGGGAAGGAGGAGGGTGATGAGCACAGAGCTCTGCTGTTTGTCTTTCATCAGCTTGCTGAGCCTAGAGGAGGGGACAATGGGCGTGTGAGGAGGACACGTCAGGAGGACGTGGCAGGAGGACGCGTGAGGAGGACGCGTGAGGAGGACGCGTGAGGAGGACATGTCAGGAGGACCGTCAGGAGGATGCGGCAGGAGGACACGTCAGGAGGACACAGCAGTGCGAACAGCTTCTGGAGTCAACCGCTCGGAGAGAAGCACCAGTGACTAAGACGCGCCTGTGACACTCCCAGCCACGGTGGCTCTGTTTGGACCGAGGCCCTGGCTACGGGGCTCCCCTGCCTCACAGCATCTGCGCGCAGGCAGGTTACGGACCAGGGCTCTGACCCGGCAAGCCACGGTTTCCCATTTTACACGGAGTCACATCTTCAGTGCTAACACTTCAAGTTTCATGTCCGGAATTTCTAGTAAACTCCCTCACAACCCTGCGAGCACAATTACTGGCTTCATTTTGCCCAGAGGAAAACGAGACGTGGAGAAATCACTGCCTAATCCCCTCCCACCCTTCCATCTATCACACTGCCTGAGATGAAACGAGTCAGTGACTTTACAGTGACTTCCACTCTGCACGACCCAGACATGTAACAGTATAAACAAAACACCACAAAGACGTTTTCAGAAGATTCTCATGTACTTTTAAGTTTCTGATGGTGAAAGTAACATTAAAAAAAAAAAATCTAGGCCAGGCGTGGTGGCGCACACCTGTAATCCCAGCACTCGGGAGGCTGAGGCAGGAGGATCGCTGTGCGTTTGAGACCAGCCTGGGCTACATAGTGAGTTCCAGGTCAGTCTCAACTACATAGTGAGACCCTGTCTCAAAAAACCAAAAAAAAAAAAATCTAAGAACTAAGTCCAATTCCTGTCAAATTAAAATTCAAGACAGAATCATTTCTTACTGCCCTGGTCCCTTAGAGAAATCACAATTACATATGCCAAGGTTTACTGACAAACACACCCTTTAAAAATCCTTGCAAGATCTTCTTGATTATCAAAAACAAAACAATTTGTTCTTTTAAGGTGGTTATCTTTATTAAACTAAAAAACAAAACAAACAGGATGTGACTTCACAACACTCAAGGCTTAATTTAACAAAAGACACAAAGTCCGCATAAGCAGATCTGCTGTCTTTAGAATCATTCAGGGAAGGTGGAAGCCGTGAGACTGTGAAATGTTTAGCGGACGCCCTGGGCTCTGCGTTCACCCAAGGCGGGGGCACCTAAAGCACCGAAGGCTGTGTGGGATCGAGCCCTTGTGCACCCAGGTTCGCGGTCCCACTGCGCTGACCCGGCCCTACAGACAGTTCAGTTCCGCTTCCTCTCTCCCTCTCCTCACTGTGCTGACATTGGACCCAGGGCCTTGCACATGGTACTGGAAACCTTCTAAGCATCCTATCACCACATCCAAAGTGAGATAAAATTGTAAAAAGTTAACACCCCAAGACGGGGACGGTGCCCTTTCAGAACCAGTGTACTGACTTACTTTGAAAGAATGCCGAGTTCCTTGCTGACTTGCACTCTGTTCTTTTTCTTTTTCACCTTTTCTGCACTTATGGTAGTTTTGCTGAGGTACTGAAGAATTACGGGCACATGAGGTAGAATCAATCTTCCTCCCACAGTGATGGACTCTGAAACAGTGTTTAATGTTTTGATTTTTAAATTCTCTGAAAGCACAATTGTACGACATCTGGGTGACAGATAAAGCACTCAGCTATTAATAAAAACGTAGTATCCCAATGATGAATGTAACTGTACCGTATACCTAAAATAGACCAATAAACTCAGAGAATAAATAGATAAATAAACAGAAAATAGCTAAGATATTAAATAAAAATTTGACGTAAAAAGTTTAGTAAACTTTCAACTCTAAACATTAAATAATTTCTAACTCATAAGAGCTATCCTAGTGGTGAAACAGAAAAGGAACCTAAGAGACCCTGAACCCGCTTTCTGCTACCAGAAGGGACTGCTGGGAAAGTGGCAGGAAGCAGGCAGAGAGGAAAGAGGGGGATCGTCGGCCACTCCCTGGAAGGCACCGAGACCGCCGTCCTGCAGATGAGCTGCATTCCCATCTGTGAGAGAAACGCCCTTGCAGAAACCTTGCACGCCTTCTCCCAGAAGACGCAGATGAGCGCGGGGCCCGGGGACACCCGCAGCACACCCACCGGCTGTGTCCCCTGCAGGTCCCGCGAACACGCAGCCGGTCACCGGCAAGTTTGGCACCGTGTCTGAGGGCTCAGGGTCTGGAAGGTTCAGGAGGTCGTCGACCATGTCCATCACGATGCTGGCCGTGGCCTCGGAGAGCTTCTTCGCTGAGAGAACCGCAAAGACGTTGGTGAGGACGTCACATTCCGGGTGCCCTGGCTTCTGTTTCGCCAGAAGAGGGAAATATCTGCAAGAACAAAACCACTGTAACGATCGCCTCATTTCTCACTGTGTGTATTTCTAGTCACGTCCTGCCGTGTTTCACAGTTTAGTGAACGTACACGTGTGTGCACAAACACTGGCAAGATGACTTAAAAGAGGAGAGACCTGAAGCCTGCACGGGACTGATCTCAAACACCTCGGATGCTCTACTGCCCAGGTGCCGTACGTGTATTTCTTTCCGAACCCTTACATCGTGGCTATGACACTGTACCCAGCGTGGGTGACCGACTTGTCCCAAGCCAGAGCAATGCGTGGCAGGAGGTTTAAACAGCAGTCTAACTCCAGCCCCAGCCCTTTCGAAACACCAAAGTTAGGCATTTCATCATGAACTCTACTCACATAAAGACGGGCACCCCAGAGCCACCTGCTGTCTGAGCAGGAGCTGCACTGAGCCGGCGGGGAGGGGTGAGTGCACCCCAGAAACAAAGGGGACCTGGGTCGCAGACGCCCTCGCAGTGCAAGGATCTTCCCGTCAAGGCCAAGCTGACGGTCACCTTAGAGGGCAGCACAAAACTCTCAGATAACCTGACTTTTGCAACTGTCCTGATTGGTAAGAGCCCAGTCTGTTCACCCTCAGTGCAGCAGACAGCAAAGCTCCCAGGGCCACAGCCCCACCATCCCGTCAGGAAGTACAGCAGGGCAGGTCCCAGGCAAGACGGCCCACGCAGTCTCCCTGCTGCACAGGTGGGGAAACTGAGGCTGAGGCCTGGGGTGAGCGTACAGAACCCCAAGAGATCGGCCCGGAAGTATGCTCCATGGAGAATGGATGGAGCCACAGCCAGCGAGACTGGTTTGGTGCGGCCCATGGGGAGCACCGCACTCACGGAGCCCGGAGCCATGCAGGGCCCTGGCAGCCTGGCGGCCGGTGGCTGTTTATGCGACCCCATCCTGGACGGCGGCCATGCGGTCACACTGGCTGCCACCTCGAGCAAGACCATCTGTCCTTATCTGCGAGCTTAAAGTCACCGGGCATAGGGCGGCTCTACCTGTGCCTATTAAATGCCACTTAGCCACAGAGGGGCACCGGCTTAACACCGGACGTGTACTGCGAACCCAGAGCCCATGTCCACTGGAGCGCTGTCCCCCAGGCGGCCAGAGCACCTGCTTGCTCACGCGCACACAGTGACCTGTTCCAGGACAACTGGAGATGACTTTGAAAGGAAAAGAAGGCTCCATGGTCAGCGTCCTCAGCTGCCGTACGACCGCTGTCTCCCCAACCAAAACAATGAGCAGGAGCTCGTGGGACTGGGTGGGTGACGGCGGCACCGTGGGCCCGCAGCGGCAGTGTGGAGCCAGGGGACAAGGCTGAGCCTGTGCCGGTGTCCGGAGTTTGGGCCCCGCTCCTCAGGGCTCCTGGTGCAAATTTTCTTTTGGTAGAGGGATCCAACTTGGGTCCTTGCGTTTGCAAGGCAGGTGGCAGAACCACTGAGCTGAATCCACAGCCCTCTCCGCGCAAATGTTTCACAGCTGCAACACGATTGTCACACTCGCCTTTCAAACACTGCTTATAAACATTTGGTGATTGGACAAAGCACAAAAGTGGGAAGTAAGGGAGAGCCCTTCCTGTTAGTAAAATGGATTTTCTCAAAGACATGACTGAGAGGTCCCGAAGGCTAGTTAATGACGTGGGGAAAATACTTATGGTGAAAGAGACACAAAGTCAAAGCCTGGTTATAGTGCGACCCCGACTTTATAAAAATCAATGCCAGGGTCTTAATTAACAGCGTTGAATCAAGATGAAAACTGTTTCTGAGCACGAAGTATAAATCACGTCTTTCTAAGACGCAGCAGAACGCCAGGCAAACCCAGCTTCTCTCCGCGCAAGCGTGAAGCCCTGAGTCGCTACCTGGCGCTTCCCATCCCAGCCTCCCCACGAGGCCTACGTCATCCCCACATCTGAGAAGAGCACCCCATGGATCCCTACCCTCCAGGTCCCCAAATTCCAATCAGACGGCAAAACTGCAAAAAGGGACCTGCTGACCAGATGCCGCCCGTGGCTGCCACATTCTCCACCCCCGAGCCGCGCCTCCGCATTTCCGTTGGCTCTGCCGGGGCCGCGGGGCGCGCAGCATAGGAAGAGCCGGGGTGGCACAGCTGAGAAGAGGGAGCCCCGCCGCCTGGCAGGTGCACACAGGCCGCAGAGCTGCAACACCTCTCACCCCCGAGAGATGACCGCGGGGACGGGACGGGAGTCACTCCTGTGGGTGTACCGAAATCCCAGGGGACCCCAGAGGGCAAGGTGGGCGTTGTGCTGTTTTCCCGTTTCTGTGTTTTCAGACAGGGTCTCGCTGTGCCGTCCAGCCTGACCCCAAAGTCACTATGCAGCCCATGCTGACCTCAAACTCACGGTGATCCTCCTGCCTCAGCTTCCCAAGTGCGGAGGTACAGGCGTGCGCCACAACGCCCAGCTAGGTGTCATTAGAAAGAAAAAGTTTCTCATTTACCTCTAAATATTTCCACTCTCATTTCCTATTTACACACAAATGTGCACATGCCTGAACACATTTTTCCTGGACACATTATATGTATTACTTAGCATCTTTCATAGTTTGAGATTTTCCACGCTTTACTCAGCTGCCTTCCCTTCTTTTACTGCACCCACAGTGATGCACTTCATGGAAAGACCACACACTACGTCTTGTTCTGACCACATGCGCTCGAAATACAGCCCCACTGCAGAGTCCGGGGCAGCGGTGGTACCTTGCATTTCTGCTCCAGACGCTAATGAGCTTCAGCAGAGGAGTGGGCGAATACTGACTCTCACATCCAAGCCGGCAGATCTACGAGACAAAACAAAACATATGTCACAGGGGAAACAAAAACAAGCAACAGATTCAGCATGGGGGAGCACACCTGCAGTCCCAACGCTCGAGAGGCTGAGGCAGGAGGATCACCGTAAGTTTGAGGCCAGCATGGACTACACAGTGAGACTTTGCCTCAAAGAAACATAGCAAGCTGGGCGTGGTGGT